TCTAGTTGGCAGCCGGTATCAAGCAGAGTGTCCTAGTGTCCTGGGGATGGTTTTGTTCAATATTTTCATTAATGATCTGGAAGATGGGATGGATTGCACCCTCAGCAAGTTTGCGGATGACACTAAGCTGGGGGGCAGAGGTAGATACGCTGGAGGGTAGGGATAGGGTCCAAAGTGACCTAGACAAATTGGAGGATTGGGCCAAAAGAAATCTGATGAGGTTCAACAAGGACAAGTGCAGAGTCCTGCACTTAGGACAGAAGAATCCCATGCACTGTTAGAGGATCAGGGCCGACTGGCAGTTCTGCAGAAAAGAACCTGGGGATTATGGTGGACGAGAAGCTGGATATATGTCAACAGTGTGCCCTTGTTGCCAAGAAGGCTAATGGCATATTGGGCTGCATTAGTAGGATCATTGCCAGCAGATTGAGGGAAGTGATTATTCCCCTCTATTCGGCACTGGTGAGGCCACATCTGGAGTATTGTGTCCAGTTTTGGGCCCTCCACTACAGAAAGGAGGTGGACAAATTGGAGAGAGTCCAGCAGAGGGCAATGGAAATGATTAGGGGGCTGGAGCACATGAGTTATGAGGAAAGGCTGGGAGAACTGGGCTTATTTAGTCTGCAGAAGAGAAGAGTGAGGGGGGTTTCCAAAGAGGATGGAGCTAGGCTGTTCAAAGTGGTGGCAGATGACAGAACAAGGAGCAATGGTCTCAAGTTGCAGTTGAGGAGGTCTAGGTTGGATATTAGGAAAAAACTATTTCACTAGGTGGGTGGTAAAGCACTGGAATGGATTACCTAGGGAGGTGGACTGTTTTTAAGGCCCAGCTTGACAGAGCCCTGGCTGGGATGTTTTAGTTGGGTTTGGTCCTGATTTGAGCAGGGGGTTGGACTAGATGACCACCTGAGGTCCTTTCCAACCCTAATCTTCTGTGATTCTATGAAGATAACCACTGAAATTCAGTGTTCTGCCTAATGCAGATCAATTGAGTGGCCAATCATATGCCTACATATAATTAGAAATAGGCTGAACCTGGAAATGTTGTTTATCGCCCTGCAAAAAAGAAATCTAAACATTAACACACATAAGAACAATCTAATGAACCCTTTCTTTTTTTAGAGAAGAAATGGCTACTGTCATATTCAGGAGTGAGTCACATCCTCCAATCTGTCCATGGGCACTTTTCCCCAGACTGGCTAACTTCACGGCTTGCCCCTCTTTCGACTGGGGCATCCCTATTCCCATCTTTGCAGCCCCTCTCGAATGCACTCCTCAAATGGCAGTGCCCCTCTTTCCAAATGTTTTAACACTACAGGCCCAACTGTGTTTGTTGGCATCTGTAAGAAATTTGCCTTTAATAAGCTGCTAGTGGCATGCCTCCAAAAGTGACTCAAAAAGAGCTTCTTCAATAAAAAAGTAGGGCTGTCAATTAATCACAGTTAACTCATGCGATTAGCTCAAAAAATTAATCACGATTAATTGCACTTTTAAAACAATAGTCTACCAACTGAAATTTTCAAATATATTGATTTCAATTATAACACACAATACAAAGTGTACAGTGCTCACTTTATATTATTATTTTTATTACAAATATTTGCACTGTAAAAATGATAAAAGAAATTGTATTTTTCAATTCACCTCCTTCAAGTACTGTAGTGCACTTTCACAATAAAGAAATTGCAACTTACAAATGTAGATTTTTTTTTGTTACATAACTGCACTCAAAAAACCAAAACAATGTAAAACTTTGAACCTACAAGTACACTCAGTCCTACTGCTTGTTCAGCCAATCGCTAAGACAAACAAGTTTGTTTACATTTACCGGACATAACGCTGCCCGCTTCTTATTTACAATGTCACCTGAAAGTGAGAACAGGTGTTTGCATGGCACTTTTGTAGCCAGCATTGCAAGGTATTTACTTGCTAGATATGCTACACATTCGTATGCTCCTTCCTGCTTCAGCCACCATTCCAGAGGACATGCTTTCATGCTGATGACGCTCATTAAAAAAAATGTGTTAATTAAATTTGTGACTGAACTCCTTGGGGGAGAATTATATTTCTCCTGCTCTGTGTTTTACCCGCATTTTGCCATATATTTCATGTTATAGCAGTGTCAGATGATGACCCAGCAAATGTTGTTCATTTTAAGAACACTTTCACTGCAAATTTGACAAAACGCAAAGAAGGTACCAATGTGAGATTTTGAAAGATAGCTACAGCACTCGACCCAAGGTTTAAGAATCTGAAGTGCCGTCCAAAATCTGAGAGGGGCAAGGTGTGGAACATGCTTTCAGAAGCCTTAAAAGAGCAACACTCTGATGCGGAAACTGCAGAACCGAACCACCAAAAAAGAAAATCAACCGTCTGCTAGAGGCATCTGACTCAGATGATGAAAATGAATTTGCGTTGGTCCGCACTGCTTTGGATTGTTATCGAGCAGAACCCGTCATTGGCACGGAGGCATGTCCTCTGTAATGGTGGTTGAAGCATGAAGGGACACATGAATCTTTAGTGCATCTGGCACGTAAATATCTTGCGACACCAGCTACAACAGTGCCATGCAAACACCTGTTGTCTCTTTTTCAGGTGACATTGTAAACAAGAGGCAGCATTATCTCCTGCAAATGTAAACAAACTTGTTTGTCTGAGCGATTGGTTGAACAAGTTGGACTGAGTGGACTTGTAGGTTCTAAAGTTTTACATTGTTTTATACTTGGGTGAAGTTTTTTTTTAACATAATTCTACATTTTTAAGTTCAATGATGCAAATGATGTTGTGCAATCTCTTTAATAGGTGAATTGAAAAATACTACTACTTTTGTTTTTTACTATGCAAATATTTGTAATAAAAAATAATAACATAAAGTGAGCACTGTACACTTTGTATTCTGTGTGGTAATTGAAATCAATATATTTGAAAATGTAGAAAACGTCCAAAATATTTAAATAAATTGTATTCTATTATTCTTTAACAGTGCAATTAATCACGATTAATTTTTTTAATCGCTTGACAGCCCTAAAAAAAATTATTCTCCTATTCAATAAAAGATACATAACTAGCAAGGAGAAGGGTTTAAACAAGTGTGTGTATACATCTTTGTCACCTAAACTTTACTCTTTCCTTGGCAGTTTCCACTTAGCCCAGCTGCCTCCATCTCTGAGATGGGAGAGATAGACTGCCCTGCAGTTTTCTCTTAACCTTTTAGCCTAATTGGAGCCAGATAGATTTCCCAATGAATAGCTTCCCCTGCTCTTTCCTTAAGGACCTCGGTATTCTTTCTGGTGGCAACTTATCTTTGTCATTGTTTTGTTTTCCTCTTAACAGCCTTGTTTGATTTAATTCCATATAGTCAGGCAGGATAATATCAAGTAGATAAACTGAGGTGCATCTGATATTAATATAAAATAATAGACAACTCCCTCCTCCTCCAAGCTAGTTACATCAATTCACCAAATTGGCTTCTGAAAAAATATTTCAACATTATATTGGGCAATTTTGCATAAGACAAACCCCTGTGGTGATCTTGTATGTTCCTAAAAATACCTGTCCTTTATTATTACTAAGGCATCAGCTGAGCTTCTTTTTTCCATTTGTAACATAATTACACTGATAAGTCAAACTATCGTAAGGTATTTCTACTTTCAGACTAAGGTTTCTAGTTTTCCAAAATTCGTTCACTCCCCTATACTCCACAGGAGACATAAAAGTTCAAATTTAAAATTTAGGACATTTAGGTTTCCGAAAACACTGCAATATCACTACAAAGAATAATTTACTCTTCAGTTCATAAGACACAAAATTATGGTGTGACTCAATGTTAAAGACACATTAAATCAGGTTTCTCCTATGGCCCAGTAAAGGATCACTTGAACTAAAGCTCACTATATAAGAAAGGGAAAGACTTATGAAATGCATGATAGAAGATAACATTAAATGTAATTTTCTTATTTGAGGACTAAAAGTCTGTACAAACAAATTCCATGTACCGCATGATAGCAGGGGATCAGGCTCTAACCTATTGCACTGAACTGAATCAGTGAAAGTTACTCTGGATTTACCAGTGTTAAGGGCAAAATCTGGCCCTTTACAGAACATTCCCTGAGCTTTTTTTCATGTGCATGAGAGAACTAAAAAGAGGTACATCTATTATCAATACAACAAACCAGACACGTATTTTAATATTTGAAATGTTAGCATCATAAGCATATTAAGTATTTTGAGGCATTCCAAGGCAAAGTAAATAAAGTTTACATAAAATAACATTGGTCATGGGCCAGGCTTTTTGTGTGTGTTCTCATGGAACACACACTGAAATTGTCACCTTTACTTCATCCCTTTGGAAATAAAGTACTTGAGGAGTGTCCTGGCCTCCATTTAGTTCTCACAAGATCTACTGGTTTCAGGGGGTAGACTCCACCAGTTCATAGAGAAAGGAACACTGCTTCCCTAAGAAGGGTGAATCACTACGTGAACTTAAGATGAAAAATATTGATCAGTTTGCTTGGCTCTCACAACCATTTCTAGTACATTTCCTATTAGAAAGTGGTATAGATAATGGTTTCACATGCGTAAAGGGGTAAAAGTATCTCAAATTATTTATCTGCTTAAACGTACATTTTACAATTCTCTGCCAGTAAATGCCAAAAACTGAAGTCCCAGTTCAATGATTTGACTTTGCTATGTAGTTTAACCCTCTTAGCCATTTTTAAGGGAACAACTTCACTGTAAGTATATAGGTACTGCCATTTGCATACTGAAATTTGTTGAAACAATTGAACAACCTGAGATTTTTCATTCTTAGTCACCTAGATGTTTTACTACATCTGAGTTCATCATAGCATAAACTGTTTCCACTGTATTACAGTAGTTTTGAATCTTGCATCACAAAACACAATCGCTAATATTTCAAAACTACGTAGCTTGCAATTGGTCAGGCCTCTGTATCTCTGAAGTATTCGTTCCTTTGGGAAAAGATGCATTTTTCTATAACTTACCTAGAAGTATAATGATGCAGAGAAGAATAGCAATTAGAGCACCAGTGCTCAGGCCAGCAGGAAGGAGCAAGGCCTCAGCATTACACGACTGCATGTTACCACGGTTGTCGCAGGTGCACACTCGAATGGTCAGAGTGCCAGTGCTACTCTGGATTGGGTAGTCATTGTCCGATATCACCACTGGCAGGAAATAGGTGCTTATTTCATGTCTACTGAAGCCATTTCTTCTCGTCAAAATTCTGGCAGTGTTATCTATATCAGTTAAAAATATGTTTATATATTACTAATGTGTAATATATAACTATAAAATTCATAGTCTATATAATATAATATAACATTTTTTATCAGAGTTTTTGGTTCACTATGTTATTTTGGAAAGCGTGCTTCCTTAACATCTGAGATCAGGCTTTTTTCTACTGGCATTTCAACTTGACCAAAAGGCTGCTTTGCCTCTCTCTTCCCCTCAACCTGCTGTTGCCCAATGCATTGTATTCCTCAGTATCTCAAGCTGAAATGTGATTGGAAGAGTGATTAACACAGGCATTCAGAAGATCAAAATGCAATACTGTATTCCTAAGCAGTTTAGACACGAGAATGTACTCCAGATACTGTATATGTGCCAAGTAGTACAGTCTTATCATGCTCTTATTAATCTGTAGTGTAAACAGTAGCATTAAATGCTGTGCAAATAGCCTCCCTGCAAGTCAGAGATGCCAGGAGGGCTGCTGCTCTTTCTACTAATACAGGACAAAAATACAAAAACAAGAAATAAGGGCAAATGTTTCCTCTTTGATCAGAATTGTCAGTCTCTGCTAGATAAGCATTATCTGTACTGCCAGCTGACTTCCCGTTGAAGTTAATGAGTGAAACCCATCTACAAAAAGTGTAGAATATCATTAGAAATGGATAAGATATATTTTCTTAGAGCCCATCCTCTGCATAGGCCGGATCTATTCCCCAGGATATATCCTCTATTAAAATATTGCACTTGGTTTGAGCTAGAAGGCTGAGAGAAGTGAAGAACATTCTATTGTATGCATTCTAGAATGTTCCTTTACAGCTCCTCCCATCTGATGTCACCCTGGTTTCAGATCTTTTTATGCTGGCTGATTTCATAATTCTAACACAAGCCAAACAGACTATGGATGAGTGCTCATGTCCCATTTCCCCAACAAAAGACACACTCCTAAAAGCTTTTCCGGCAACAGTCAGAAAAAAAAAAAGACAAATGAACAAAAAGAAACCCAAAGTGGCTATCCACTTGGAGTCATCAGCCTCATTCAGCTTTACAAAGGAGCAAAGACAGAAGACTAAGAAGCGAGTCCCTTTGGTCAAGCTTCCTCTGCTCCCATTCTCCCCTCATTGCACTCCCTCCTCAAAAAATCAGGCATTAGCTTAGCCTCTGCTATACACTGCCTCTGACCCACAACCCAAACTAATTTGATGTTTTATTTAGATCCTGTTCTTATGTTATTCTCTGTTGCTCCCCCTTCACCAGTTGTTACAGACTCTCCATTGTTTGTACATAGGCAGAGGAACTTTTCTCAGTGGTGGTGCCGGGGGGTGCAGGAGGCTGTGGAGGCTTACTAAGCCTAGAACGATTTTTCTTTTCTTTTGAGTCTAGGATTCTGTGAGTTTAAACTAAAGATGACTAGGTGAATTAAGATTATATAAAGTGAAATCTTCTGCAGGTCGAGGACAGCTGACAATCTTCTGGGGACAGTAGGCATTTACCTACCTCCAAACTATCTTCTGAGTTGAGACTCTACCATTTCCCATTTATGGCTTACCTCTACATAGCATACATTAATTCATTTATTTCCAGATAAGGGGCTTAATGATGAGAACAGATCAATGCCATTTGGTTTTGAATGTGCATGGATGAAGTAAACCTCCAGTGATTACAGGCCTGTGTCCTTTATATAACTTCAGTGAATTTATATTTTGGTTATGGTGTACTAAATGTATCTGTAGACTACATGTAGTGGTTATATCCATGTCACAGAGAGCATTTATCATGACCCTTCAACTTCCTCATCTACTCCCCACTAATCCATTGCTACTGGGACTACTTAAACATTCCAGACGCCTGAGCAGCTTCATACAGTTTAAGGTCCAATGTCCTGTGACCCAAGGGACACACAATTTGATACGATCAAAATGGAGAAGATTCCTAACTACCCAAAAAGGGAAAATGCTGTTCCTTGCCTTAGAAAGACCCCCAGATATCAGGTTTCAGTGCTATTTTCAAAATCACCTAGTGGATTTAGACACCCAATTCCCATGAATTTCAATGGCAATTGTGCAGCTAGTCTTCAAGGCCGTTTTAAAAGCCTGAAGTTGTAGCATTCAGACTTCAAAGTCTGATATCTTCAGACCTGTCTCATTGCTCCTTGTGCTCCCATATCTCTTCTAATTAGATTGTAAGCTTCTGGAGGCAGGGTCTGTCTGTACAGAGTCTATCACTGTGGGTCCCTGCTCTATGATTGGGGTTGCTAAGCACCACCATCTTCTAGAGGTAAAACCAAATGTTGTGTCCCCATTTGGGAAACTGTTTTAATAATATAAATACATAAGAGCTGATGAAGACTCAGCAGTCTTGATTCACAGTCTGAACTTCTTTCTAGTTTTAGATACAGTGCGGGTTAACATGACTCTCCTGATGGTTTCTTGAGGTTCAGTTTGTAACAATCCTCAAACCAAAAGATGACAAAATCACCATGTTTTAAAAACATGTAAAGCCACCAAATGCAACTGAAATCTTGATCCAGATTTACTTCAACGTAAGCTTACATTTTGGGTTTGTAAAATATTTAAAGCTTTACTCTTCTTTTAGGAAATTATTTCCATCAGATTGTTGATACCCAATTTTCCATCATATATCCCATAAGTGTTGCCATGGGCAAGAAGAAAGGGTCATAAGCACAGTAAGGTTATAGGCAACTCCACAGTAGTAACATTAATTTTGTCTGCTATCTGTATGAGGTTCAGTGGCCTGTGAAGGCCCAGTCCTTTCTTCCAGTTAACAGGTCTTAACTTTTGCAAACACAAGTTCAAATGTTTCAGAAAAATACCTGTAATATGTTAGGAATGAAAGCTAAATCTTATACCATGGGCAAGCTCTGTATTTTACCTTCATTATCTTGAACAGTAAAGTTTGGGTTAACAGCAGCTAAACTGAAGAAAAATTTTTGTCCTCCAAGGGGGTCGTCTTTGTCTACTGCACTTATGGTCTGTATTAGCTGCAGACAAGGAAAATCAAAAATAAGCAGGCATTGTGATACAGTTATCTGGTTACTTCAAGGAACAGTGCCAGTTTAAAAAAAATCCATATTTATAAAACAAACTATGGTATAAATAATACCATCTAATATGATAACTGATCAAATGTACCTTTCATCATATATGCTGCTTCTTTTCCTGATGAAGTGCAAAAAATAAAGTAGTAAGTAACCTAGCTCATTGGTCCAGAGTTTGGATTCCAAACACTGCAAAGCAAAGTTTAAACCCAGTATTTATAAAATCAAAACAACCACCTCCCCATAATATTTTGAACCGCTACCTACCTTTGCCCCTTACACGTTTCACTATATATTTTTAGCAAGTATATACAATAACAATTCAGATTAAATTAATACACTTAAAACATATACAAAGAACTGGCCAAAATCTTTCACAGGAAAATATCAGTTTCAAAACAAAAATATTCATTACAGTTCAAACTGAAATTTGTATTTCATTTAAATGTTTGAAAACTGAAATAATATGAACGTTTTAATTTCCTCCTCCCACCACATTGAATGTAATTTTTTTTTCATTATCTCCTTTTTTCCCCCTACTCTAACTTTTCAACACTTCTTCAACTTTGGAAAAGTTAGGTTGACAAAAGCAAAAATGCAACACTAACTCTGCCACTGTAACTCTTCCAAATCTGAGGAAGTTGCAAGAGGAAGAGGGGTTAAATGAAAAACCCTTGAACTTTAATTTGATTGCACTCAGTGGCAAAAAGGTAGAAGATGGGGGAAACAAAAACTGTTTAATGTCAAACACTGCAAAACGGAAACCACTTTGAAACTTCTAAATTTGTAATGAAATTCATTTGTCCATTTCTCAGCACAGAAAATCATGTAAATTAAGAGTTTATGAGGGGGAAAATTGTTTACCATGACTCTCAAACATTCTATTCAAAATGCTAAAACACATACACCTTTATCACCCCTAGCTGGGATCTGAGATCCTGGGTAGATCTCATAACTTAGGCTGCATCAGAGTACTTGGGTTGCAGAGTTCCAAAGAAAGCCTGTTGTAGGCATTGCAGGAAGTAGTGGTGATTCCCTGCCATTCTTCTATTTAAGTATGCAGTGAACCAGTGTAGTTTGTCATTGAAACTTACTGGTCGTTAGCTATGGCAAGTGCCATCTCTTAGATGTAAACCTCAGATCTTTGCTGCTTCATCCCAGGGTGACTTCCAGTCACATAGCCTCAGTTACTACCCTATGCTGATGGTTACCAGAACTACCTCTCCACTGACTGACATCTCGCCTTCAATGTTCCATTGTCTACTCAAGCTCAACTTGTCAAAAACTGAAGTTTCTTCTAGAATCCTCCTACATATCCTCCCGGCTCCATTACTGTTGTCAGCTATACAATCTGACCTGCTCCACAAGTCTGCAATCTACCTGTCATTTTTGACATCTCTCCTGTGACATGCTAAATCCTGCTTTCTTTGTCTCTCTAGAATTTCCAAAATGCATCTGTTTTCTTCATTCCTACCATTAAAACACTTGTAAAGTAATATCATCCTTTGCCTCAGCAATGGCAACCTCCTCTCTGTGGCCTTCCAAACATTCATCTAACTCCCCACTTCTCTCCTCCAGTCCTTCCAAACTGCAGAGTACATCCCTCGGCCCATGCCGCTTCCCGCAGCCCTCATTGGCCTGGAGCGGTGAACTGCGGCTAGTGTGAGCCGCGATCGACCAAACCTGCAGACGCGGAAGGTAAACAAACCGGCCCGGACCGCCAGGGGCTTTCCCTGAACAAGCGGCGGCCCGACTTTGAGAAGCACTGGTATAGACCATTTCAGTACATAAGCCAGCCACTAGCTGATCAGTATTAGGAAGAAACTTCCCTTGTGGGCAATTTATTCCAAAATAGTTCACTGCAGTGTTCCTTAAATCTTCCTGGTACTGACCACTGTACCGGAGTAAATGGACCACTGATCTAAAATCTGGTGTGCAGATTCCTGTGTATCTGTGTTCTACTCAGGGTAATCCTAACACGTGATTTACATACCCCATCACACTTTATGCATAGCAAACAGTACATTAGTGTGGCATGAGTTGCATGACTATCTGGAAGCAAAATAGAGTAAGGCTTGGAGAGCTGTAAAAAACACAATACTGAAAGAAGAAAGTCTATCTCATTACAACTTAAAACACATGGGAGATATAAATAGAAAGGAAGGCCACAGAAGGAACTAAAGTAAGAAATAATTGGAAGAGATGAGAGATTAATAAGAAAGATGTTTGAGTGAATGAATCACTGAGAAATAATGACAGAAAAAAAGCAAAGATATCATGCTACTAAGGAATCAAAGGCGGCAATAAGAGTGTCCTATAAATACATCCAGAAAAGAAGAATAATGGCAGAAAATAAAATTGCTACAACTTGAAAAGGTGAGGACTGTGAATTTTTAAATAAATCTATTTGAATTTAGCTTATAATAAAAAGTCTAATGATAACAAGGACATCGGAGAATTCTAATCAGGGAAACTGTTGGATATGATACTTGCAGATGCCAAGAGCAAAGGATAAACAAATAGATGGTAAAACTATATTTGATAAAACAAAAAAGATATACATGTCTGGATCTGGATGAAATGCACTACAGAGTTTAACAAACACTGGGTCTTTTCTACTAATTCTTTATAATCTGCAATAAATTAAGACAGTCAGAAGAGAGAACCAACAACTAAAAAAAATCCCAAAACATACTTGATGAAGTTTAGTGACGAAAAATCCATGAATTAGCCAATTAGATGCATATGTTTTTCAGGTATAATATTTGCACACAGGATAAGGGAGTCTGTATAGATCTGGTAAAGGAGAGTCTAATAACTGACAAGCAGTTTTGATTTATTGAGCCCTGATTGTGAAAACCAAATTTAAAAGTCTCCATCATAGTTAGTGATTCAACAGCTACTCAAGACTCTGTGCAAGTAAGGCCATGAGGGCTCCTAAACCCTGCTCTGAGGACCATGCTGGAAGAAGCAGCCTGTCCTCTCTCAATGGAAAGAAAAAGTGGCAAGACAGCAATCAATATCTGGAACAGATTTGGCTGTATTTGCCCTAACCCAATGATTTCTCTGCTGAACGCAGCCCTCCTTCACAGAGGAAAGAAGTGGTAGGGATCCTTTCCAGCCTGTGGGCAGGTGAAAGGCTGTTTAGGCTGCCCCACCTCCAGAATGTCACAGGACAACTGTAATTCCATGCTTCCCTTGGCATGCACACCATCTAACTGGCTGTAGGTCTGTTTGTCTCTCTGATTATAGGGTGGGGAGTACAGGGTAGTTGGAGACTGGAGGATAAAGGGGAAGTTGGAGGAGTGGAGCAAGGATGATTCGGAAGAGGAGGAAAACAATCAAGACTCCTACTCAGCATCATCTCGTACTTATACATTATGTTTCTATGGTGTTTGTCTATGCCTTTGTCTGTCTTTTGAATTTATAGTGTAAGCTCTTTGGGGTTTTTCAGTAGGTTTGGAAAATGTTGAGCATATGTTAGATGCTATCACAATAGCTCACATATTAATATATTGAATTCTCTTATTCAATATATTAGATTTCAAGAAGCCAGTCAACATTATGTCACAGCTTAAACATATAAAGAAATTAAATACCTAACTACATAAAATACCATATTCTAGCATGGGGCTGAACATTTTTTGATAAACAGTGGTCACTTATCAGTGGGGAAGACTATTCAGTGAGGTCTAAATTTGACTATATGTCATCTGTAATTATGGTCACAAAAAAAGGAGGAACTAATATACAAGAGGACAGAATTAAATTAGCAATGACCCAGAGAGATTAAGTTGTGTGTATCATAACCATAGTCAGTAGCAGTGAATTTACAGTTATAAAACCAATCAGAAAAATAAATAAAATGGGATAGCCATCTGGCAATAAAGGCATCCAAGAAATTAACTATTTTCAGATAAGTCTGCATTCCTCCTCCATACTCTCTTCAACAGTACTGTGATGCGTACATGCCAATCTGTTACCACTGATGCCACTTTTGAGGGCATTTTTTATTCTTGGATTAATGTGCTGTGGAACACACAATACAGTAATATGGAAACTGATGGGTTTCCAACAGCCCTAATGGATAGCTGCCTAGTAGGAACTAGACATTCAGCAGCAGAGTCGTTTCACTTTAATCAAATATATTTTTCTGTATTATTTTGTTTGGTTTCTATAAAAGCCAAACAAAATAATATGTTACCAGTTCAGATATTAACATCTTTTATGTTTTTGTTTGATTCACCCACAGAAAATGTTTGGGAGATAAACTGTCATTTGCATAAAAATGTAAGTGTGACATTGCTGTTTCTAAACCTGATAAATATTAATTCAAAGTACAATTGAGCTCCATAGTATGGACCTCTTTTTGAAAAAAAAATACATCTAATTTGATTACCAATTATTTATAGCATGTTGCTTTCTTCTGGGAAGATAACACTGAAACCAATTAAGAACACATCTTTCAGACCTATATGCTTAGGCATCTAAAGCAACAAAACAAAAACAGATCCACGGATGCAAAAGCTTAAGAGTAAAATTAACAGAGCTCCTGTAGAAAGCCATTTCTGTAAAAGTAAAGAAAAGTAATTTGTTAATTTACATGCTGGCGCAATTGTAAAGTATTATTGTGGAGGTCTAAAGACTGATTTACTGACAGCCATTCTTTTCCTTCATTTTGTTTCATAAACTGTACTAGAAGCACTCTTTCTCAAGCAGCATGCTCTCTCGAGCATTTTTAAAGTATGGCCTAAAACTGAGTGCCATAGTAAAACCAAATAGCTTAAAGTATTTACAGAAAGCATACCTGTCCAGCTCTTGCATTTTCACATACAAAAGTATCATAGAATACGGCAAACTGCGGGGCGTTGTCATTAACATCCAAAATTCGAACATAAACAGAAACACGAGTGGTATCTTTGGGATTGTCTGCCAAAAGAAAAGAAATGAAAACAGAAAGAAGTGATTTCTTGCTCTCATTTAAAAAAAAAAAAAAAAAAGTTTGTTTTCTTTAAAATTCTTCCAGGGCTCAGCATTCAAGGTCAGATCCTCAGCTGGTGTAATTTGGCATAGCTCCCTGGACTCATACTAGGTAAGGATCAGGCTACGTCAGTGTTCAGAACAGATTTTGCTTAGTGCCAAAAACAAATTCATTTACTGGTATCTAGTGCGCAATTAGGCTGTTTACATGAAGATAAACACTACTTCTGTTAATGAAATAAGCAAATGTAATATGTAAAAAGTATCTCTATTAGTATAATCAAATGACAATTGTTGTTTTTGTTGGGCTCAAGAGTATTGTTCTCCTGGAAGTTTGTTTTTTAAAACAAAATGCAATGGATGTTATCGAATTTGTTTTACACTGAGGAGCTGTCAGTGGTTGGCGACAAACATATTCTAAAAGGATATTCTCAGTATGTGATTTTCCTTTCACTTCCCCTTTTATAAATCAGTAGACCAAAGGTGGCACGCGAGCCGATTTTTGATGGCACGCGGCGGCGGGCTGGGCGTGGGGTTCCATTCACTCAGCCGGCAGCGGGCTGGGTGGGGGGCTGAGTGGCTCTGTCCACTGCCGGTCTGGGGTTCTGGCAGCACTCAGCCTGCTGCTGGTCTGGGGTTCCGGCTGCCGGCCCCTTGCCAGTTGGGGTCCCAGCCGCCGGCCCCGCTCAGCCTCCTGCCAGTCTGGGTGAGCAGACCCCCCAGGCTGGTAGCGGGCTGAGGGGGGCCGGCAGCCGGGATCCCGGCTGGCAGGAGCTGGTGGACAGAAGCCCAGACCAGCCCGCTGATGGTCTGGGGTCCCGGCCACTGGCCCTGCTCAGCCCGCCGCCGGTCTGGGTTAATGGAACCCCAGGCTGGCAGCGGGCTGAGTGGTGCCCGCGGCCGGGACCTCAGACCGGCAGTGGACTGAGCTGCTCAGCCTGCTGCCGGTCTGAGGTCCCGGCCACCGGCCCCCGCTCAGCCCGCCGCTG